AAAGGATAATCTTAGATCCTTGGTCTCTTTTAGCTTTACCTACCCAACCTTTGTAGGCCTGAAGGAAAATGACAATTTGTAGGGGAGGAGCAAAGTATTCCTGTGGGACCTCCCTTTTAAATGTTGATTGATTTTAAGCTGGAACTCTCAGGATTTGTTCCCAGAGACCAGAGAAAACAGAAGATTTTCTGGTGTAATTTTGCTTGTTTTCAAGCAGGGCAGAACCATTGTTATTTTTTTTTCTATTAAAACCCCTGTATGTGTGAGAAAATTCTCCAACTTTTTCATAAACTTCCATGTAACAAAAACAGAGTTTCAGAGTAATGGATTTCTCACAAGGCCTGCTCTGTGATGGATGGGAATGAGACACATAATTCCCACAGAAAACTTTAAGTAGTGATCAGCTATTCTCATTTCTATAAAACAGCTCTATTTGTGCCTCAGATATTGTGAGTTTCTTGTTCCAGCTTTTTTATTCATCATTAACATAAAAAAAATTAAAAAGTCTGTAGTGATGGTATTTAGATGGGTGGCCTGTGTCTGCTAGATTTATCATAATAAAACCACTGCAAACCAAATATTAAATGTAGTAGTCTGCAGAATTAAGTGGACAGAGGAATAGTCTAATATAACAAGTAAAAATAATAGTAATCCTTTAAAAAACGTAAATGATGCTGAAGTCTACCTCCCACTGTTAAATATTTGTCATCCTGAGTTTAGGCACTGAACAATTTGACATTAGGATATGTAAACCCTGAACCTCACCTAATGCTTCTCTCTCACATTGATTTTACCACAGAATTGAAAGCATCCTTTTAAGACATGGCTGAGCCAGTCTAATGCCACTGAGAAGGAGAATGCTTTGCCTCCTTCCTTTGTTCTGTGTGTTTCTGTTCCCTCCCTTATGCCACCACTATTATTTACCTGACTTAAGGATGAGCAGTTCTCTGGGATGTAAATGAAGGGGAAAATTTTTGGTAAAGCTAATTTACTTGCTGATGACCTACTTCCCTAAACCACCTCCTGGGTGTTGTGGTGTAAGTGGTGGGAAGGCATAGCAAGGGGTTACAGACAAGAGAGCAGCCTACCCAGTTTGGCAGTAGGCAATGTCCAAAGTCCGCAGATATATGAAAAACACTTGCTTTTAAAGGAAAAATATTCCACCCCTTTGATGACTCACTTCTCCTTTTCCTGTTATTCACTGATGGGAAGAAAGTAAACGCTGCAAGCGTACTACTGCTATTTCAGAACTGCAGATTCAAAGGGCTCTTCCAAATGCTGAGATATGCAGGAAAAATTACAGTAAATTACGCTACTCCACACATTGAATTGCTAAATAAAGTAGACCCATTACAGTCTGTGGAGATGCCTCATATGGCTGCAATTGAGTTATGAAATACAGCCTGAAATACTAAAATTACCTGTAGAGGCACAGTTGTCATATCAATTAAGTGAAGATAACACAAATCACAGGCTGTTGGCTCTTCTGATAAATAAACTATGCAAAAAATAGCTACGCATGTTTTTCAATGACTGCAATTGGTATTTTGTGTATATCTGGTTTGTCTCCAATAGGAACCACTTAGGTTAAAAGAAAAAAGAGTGAAATGAACAGTGTTACAGTTTATTAGCTTGCATGATCAGGCCTATAAATTTTCAGATAAAATGTAAAAGAAAAACAATTACTGGTATGTGTGATAAAGGCATGTCTTTAACATATTATCCTGAAGAGCACGAGTCTCACAACAGGAAAAGAAATTTTGTGAGAGCAAAGAAGGTGTGTCTGTAATGAGGGTTGTCACTTAATTTACTACAGTAGAAATATTTTGAGGTTTTTATGGGGTTTTTTGTTGCCTTTTTTTTTTTTTTTAAATTTCCTCCAGAAATATCTAGATAATTTCAGCAAAGCAAACAACACTGCTAAGGGTAAAGTAGCTCCCTTTCCCCGAGGGTACACCTACTGTTGTATGCTCTGTGACTTAATATGTACAAATTTGGATTCCTATTATTCACTTCTATGACCTTTACAGATGCTATATTTGGGTTTTTTACTGCTCATCAAGTCTATTATTCAATAAATTGTAATCGCTTTTTACAATTGAATTATATTTTATATTGTGCATTATGATTGTCTAACAGACCATGAATGTTCCTGCAGACAGATTCCATAGTTTATTCACCTGCCACAGTAAAAAAGAAGGTATGGAAGATCTATGAGAATGGCCTGTGCATGTACCATGGGCCTTGTTGCCATGACCTGCGGAGAATGAAAGTTGAAAGCTGACTCTCAATCATCGTTTAAATCCTACTGGCTGGTTTAAATAAATTTCTGACTACTTGAATATTCTGGGGTCTGACTTACGGCCCAGGAAACATGTAATTCTCAACTGTTCCTCTAATCTCTTCCTCTGCCATGCCCATCCTCAGACCTCTAATTAATCTCAATGCTGTTGCTTTGAATCTTTACATCAAAATGAGGTTTTTAGCAAAATGTGCTTTCTCCTCAGAGCCTTTCTCCCCTCCTCCACATGTATGTGTAGACTCTATAGTTTGACCTCAGGTAAAAACTTCAGTCTCACCCAGGTAGAGAAGTAGATGTGGTTGTGCTTTGAAAAAATACAAGCTATTAACCACACCAATCTTTGGACTTCAGGGACATAATTCTGCATTTTGGCTGACCAAAACACCTTTCAGTACTATTTGGCTCTTGACAAACAAACAGAAATTTTTAGGTTTGTTCTTACATGGAAAAAATCCATTTCAAATCCCTCTTAATAGAATGACCCTCCTGCAAACTGGCTTTGTGTGGAATTATGTAATTTTAGCAACATCAGATGGTCACTCTTCATGAGGAACTCCCTCTGTTCCACTGCACAGATGCTGTAGTGAGTTGTTCCATGTCTGTCAGACCTTCAGCAGATAGCCTACCATCCACTTTTCCCTTCATGCTTGGTGAGAGTACTGTCTTAGAGTGCTTTCTGCACTGACAGTACCTTACATGTGAGAAGAAGAGAATTGTCTGGGTTTTCTGGGATTGATGCAGTTTTTGCACTCCCTGGTAACATAAGACTCTTTCCTCTGCTATATCCATGGATGTTTGCTAGCAATGGACTGTAGTGGGAACTGTTTGCTCACTCCCAGATCACAGCACTATGACTAGGTCATACTTTCCTGTACTATTTTGGGATCTTTACCTTCACTTGGCTGTGAGAATCACCTGATACGATGTTACAGCTGGGTTTACTAAAAATGTATTTTGTTTTGCTGAACATATTTGTACCGTTGTTTTTCTCTCTTTTTTTTTTTATTTTTTATTTGGGTCTAGTTACCTAATAGAGCTCAATCACATTAATGTGTAAATTCAAAAGAACTGCATGAGACATAGCTTTAGGCTTGAACTCAGATTGCTTAGGTACAGCCTTATAAGTTAACGCAAAAGCTTAAATATTCAATTTTTAATCAGATTTTACTTCAAAAAATAAAGGTTGACTTACTGCAGATAAAGAACCATTGGTCTACTCAATGTTTCACAGGGCAATGAATCAAAAGGTCATGACGAAGGGCAGTGACTGAAAGATGACTTCTTGAAGGCAACAGTGGGAGTGTCTCATGCAATATATATCACCAACAGCTCAGAGAAGCTGTTTGGGTTCAGCTGGCAAGCTGGACTATTGCATGCCTCTGAAGTTTGTGGGGTAAGTATTTCTCCAAGTAAAATATAATTTCTAATTTGTGTTCTTTAATATGGAAAAAAAGTGATATTATGTTTAAGAACTTAAAGGTAAATATAAAAAGACATCATATATAATAATTTTACCTTGCCTTGTCAATATATCATATACTGTTTAACTGTCAAATTCTTTTAGGTGTGAGAAATATGAGTGTTTGTGCACCATGGCTTTGAGTCGAAATAGCTCTTTTTCGCTGAAAATCTGTTGTCACATTAAAACTGTTCTTTTATAATTTTAATAATTGCAAATAAGGCTATTTCTCTTATCTCAATCTCACTCTCTGGAGGGCCCAGGTGAGGTACAGTGTGACAATTCATGGAGTCTGTGATTCCACAGTCATTAGCTCCAGAGGCCTCTCAGGTCACATAATCAACCACGCCTGCTCCAAACTATGGATATGCTCTATTCCTCCAACTTTAACTGTTTTAGAGATACAAGAAAAATGGTAAACTTTCTTAGCCTTAGATTCAAAAGAGAGAGCAACTGCATGTTTCAATGAATATCTTTTACATGTTACATACATCTGCATCTACAGGACTTGCACTCAACTGAAGAAATGCAGCCCTATGCTGTTTCAAGCTGTACTGCCAAACCCCATATTTAGTGTATATATATATATGTATATATATACATATATACACGTTTGTGCTTTTTCTGAACAAAAATGTCTCAAACAGATTAAATGAGATTAAATGTCTCAAACAGGACTACAGGAAAGAACCCCCCTAAATTTATATTTCAGTGTCTAAGCAACTGGCTGGGTTTACGGAGCAACTTACTCTTATTATTCCTATAAAGTACAGAAAAGCAACCTCCAAATTTGTGGCTGGTTGAACTAAGCATAGTAAGAAGTACACTAGGAAATGCAGAAAGTTGACTACTTTTGATTTAAAGATCCAGAGCATTTTCCAGAGCAGCCACAGAAGAAATGAAATATGAAGTTAGCATTGTCTCAAACATCCCTCTGATGGCCATAGGGAAACTCATCCGTTCAATATTATATTTATCACAAAGAATAATTGTTGAAAGATCTATTTCCTAAAAGGCAAGTACAAGATACTATCTTGGTGATGAGATGGAATCTTGCTGAAAGAAAACAAATGTGTTCAGATGTAAAAATATTTCTAACAATCACAGAATTTGTAGGCTTCACATCATTCACTGGTTCAGCATCACAAACCCAGCAATGAAGTAACAGTTTCTGGGCTATTGGCAGTACTTTTTAAAACAAGCGCTGCATATCACCACTATACAGTCATATTTCTGTTTGCATTAGATAACGCTGACTTCACAATGGGCTCCATCAGTGCAGCAAATGCAGAATTTTGTTTTGATGTATTCAAAGAGCTGAGAGTTCACCATGCCAATGACAACATCTTTTATTGCCCCCTGAGCATGATGGCAGCCTTGGCCATGGTCTATCTGGGAGCAAGAGGTAACACTGAGTATCAGATGGAGAAGGTAAGTTACATAAATGGGTGCAAACTCTCTTTGATCCCATTCAAAAAGGCAGCAGATTACATCTGTGTGACTCCAGTTGAGGGGAGCAAGTCACATAGTCACCTTTGGTGCTGGATTCAAACCTGCCTGGAAATAGAATGGTGTTCCAAACTGTGAGGTTTGAATCTGGAGCTGAGTTCTTGCTTACAAATGTATTTCCCCATGAAGGGCAAGAGCAACCTTTGGTTTTCGTTAAGAAAGTGCAGTCTTGGAGAATGGCTAAGGCAGGTCTCTTATTTCAGCTTATATTTTCTCATAGGCCTGATTCCTCCTAGCTGGGAGGGACAACTTGAAACATACAAAAGATTAAACATTCAGAAAACAAGAGCGCAGTTATAAATACAGTGCACTAAGTTTGTAGCTGATTTATAGACCGAATACCATTAACTGGAAGAGATCTAAGCTGAACATCATAGCCACAAATTTTCAGTGTGGTACCTGGTTTAAAGCTCACATGAAATTTCTCAGTTCATCTATATGCTAAGCAGACCTGGTTAGTCAAAACCTAAAGTTTTAACACAAACATCAGTGACTCTCAGTGGACTTTACATACCTAGTTTCTACTTTCAATTGTAGGTTCTTCATTTTGACAAAATTGCAGGACTTGGAAGTATCCAGACCAAGGTACAGAAATCTAAGGTACATTAATTTCTCTTTCACACTTTTCTCCTGAGAATAGACTGTTCTGATTGTGCTTTTAGTAGGTTCAACACCTTCCTTTATAATTTTCTTAATTTGAGAGATGTAAATTAAAAAAATAACGTAACAAACCACCAAAATCCAAAGAACAACAGCAGCAAAACAAACACCAAGCAAGTAAACAAACACAAAAACAAAAAGACTAGAAAAAGAAGACAGGCTGTACATATTGCACCAGAACAAGTGACAGGACCAGATAGGATACTTTGGGCACCAGGCTACTTCTTGTGTAAATGAGCTTCTGCACACCAGCAGGTGCTGGTGGGGGACAGTATTTGAAAGTGGCTCAGCACCTGGAGCCAGGGTACAGCAGGCAGACTTGCAGCTGAGACTCCAAAGTGGGACAGGAAGATACTTCAGCAGAAAAGAGCTCAGAATTCTCAAAGCATGGAACATAACCACACTCTTAAAAAAGCTACAGGGACTTTTCCAGTCTCCAGTTGTCACTGCTATCCCAAGAGTACCATGAGGCATCCCAATACCGTGATACCACCTGTATGCTTTCTTCTGTGTTAATCTGCTACCTCTGTAAAGATAACACAAGCCATGGAGCCTGGCCTGTTCCCATTCACTTGGGATCCAAAGCATAAGGTGGGACTTAAAAAGAGCAAGACTTTCCTTTTTTTTTCTTTTTTTTTTTTTTTTTAAATAAAAGTATTATTAGCTAGAGCATTTAGGGACTGGTTAAGCATTTGAAAAGGAGCAGTTCAACACAATTATTCTCATAAAATAAAGTCCCAGCTACTGTTTATCATTGTGCAGTTTTCTTACATGCTTTTAGCCTGTGTCACCTAGAACACCATTCTTGGCACATTAGACAGTTGACCCATTTTTTCTCTACGTTACGAGGCATTTCCTGATTCCCTTCCTATCTAGCTCTCTTCCACCTGCAGTTTCTGCAGAAAGCTACCATAAAAATGCAAGCACCAGCTGTCAATTGGAGGCTCTCTATCTATGACAAGTCACCAATTGCAATAACTGACACCAGTATTTTTCATTTTGCCACCTCATTCCTGAGCTGTATGGTTTCAGATGCATCAGTGAGGTTTTCTGCTTGTTATCGCCTTCATATGCTATGAGTGAATTGTAAATCATTAGTTGCTAATATATTGAACATGCCTCCCATGGAACTCTTAGACTGTATTATACATTCATTTGCAAATGTTCAAACACTGTGTGTTTTCAAATGTTATTTGGAGGTTATAAATAATCCTCTTTCTAGTAAAATAACCCTCTACTTTTTTATCTTCTTATCAACAACTCAGTGTGGCAAATCTGTGAATATCCACTTTCTGTTTAAAGAAATTCTCTCTGATATCGCTGCACCGAAAGCCAATTATTCCCTCCACATTGCCAACAGACTCTATGCTGAAAAGACAAGTGCAATCCTACCGGTGAGTGATTTCTTACTAAACTCTGTGTAAACCTGTAATCAGGAGGACTGGCCAGAGTAGGTGATCTGTTAATCCAACGGTCCCCACTGGTGTGGATTTACATGGCTTTTCTCTTTGCCACTTCCCTGGCAATAGTCTGAATGGAAAGCAATTTGAGGCAAAAAATATGGCCCTATTTAAAAATGAATGGACTAATAAACAAAATTATTTGGTAATGTAATTCCCCACTCCCCACTTGCCCCCCACTGGTTGTTTGTTTTTTTTTTCCCCAAGAAATAATTTGACTTTGGCATATTTCTTCACTTGAAAGCCTCACCTCAAAAACAACTTCTGAAAGTGTCAAAATCTTTCTTTCATATTTTCAAAAGAAAAGATAAAAAGTATTCAAAATAAAAGAAACTTCTTATCTTAAAAATAAGGGAAATTTTTTTTAAAAAATAAAGTAGACACAAAGATAATAAAACAGTCTGAAATGAACCTTAAAATAGGGAGTTTGGATCAAACTTTCTTCCAGAAAATATTTAAACATTTTTAATATATACTCTTAACTGGTCGAGTAACAGAAATTTCAGATCTGAAAATGTCTTGGGCTAGAAGAATTTTTCTATATCACTATAAAAATCCTATTAGCCACATTTTATTTCACTTTCATACTGTTTTTTAAAAAAATGACTATTTTGTTGGCTACAATTGATGTCTTTACAGATCTATGTAAAATGTGTGAAGAAACTGTACAGGGCTGGTCTGGAAATGGTCAACTTCAAAACAGCATCAAATCAAGCCAGACAGCGCATTAATTCCTGGGTGAAAAATCAGACAAATGGTAAAGTCACATAAGATTATGAAATATATTTCCCTCTAACAACTGTATTTTAACAGCTTCTGGAAAGACTAAACATTAGAGAAGAAATTTCCTCCTCCTGTTTCCATTAGTGGATATTTCCTGTGGAAAGTGATGACTCTATTGCACCTGTGTGCCAGTGACAGTGTGTTTTAAACATATCTGGCAAAGGCAGAGATGCCAGGATATGCAAACTTTATATGCATGCTTTCTGTGTCTGGAGAGCTTAACTTACCCAAGATTAGTCCCGGCTTCTCTAGAATATGGGCATAATTATACAAGGATATGCTGTATGGGTAAGAAGTGGGTTTCCAGGGCACAAAGTAATGCACACTAAGCTGATGGTGGGAAATGAATGATTCAGAAGCTGGTATATGTTCATCATGTTAAGGTGGATGAAAAACCAAGAGTAAATTGTGAGAAGGAAATACAGCGAGAAAGAGAAAATCTATATTGCTGCTTCCATCTCCATTCCCTTCTTTTCTATATAAAACTTTTTTTTCCAAATCACTGGTTAGAAATATCCTTGAGGATCTATAACACTCTTGTCTTCTTGAAGAAATGTCTGGCCATGTGCCAATTTTCAGTGTATTAAATCATCCTCATGAACCTGAAATCCATGTGCACACCCTTGAAGAAGAGAAAGTCAAGCAGCAGCATGTTGACTGACATCTAAAATGCAAGATTGCTGCTATGAAACTTACCACTCTATGCCCTGCTTCTTTTTTAAAGGACGTATCCAAGATTTGCTTGAACCAGGCTCTGTTGATCTGCATACTGTGCTGGTCCTTGTGAATGCCATTTACTTCAAGGGGATATGGAAGAGCGCGTTTAAAGAAGAAGACACTCGGGAAGTGCCGTTCAGTGTGACAAAGGTGGGGGGCACAGACACAGCTTCTGACCAGGGAGACAGGCTATTGGCTTGCACAAACAGTGGGCTGGGTGATGTAAAGACAACATTCTCTTGTCGTCAGCCAAGTGATTTAGCTGGGCCCCTCACTGTCAGATTTGCAAGATCTGTGTCTGACCAGAGCACACAGCAGATGAGAGGAAAATGGAGACACAGTTCTTCTTTAAAGGCAACAAACTTGAAGACCAAACTCTCTCTCTTTCAAAGGGCTTGTACATTTGACTGACTAAAGAAAAACATTGCTCCCCACTCACATCATCTCACATTTCTGTTTTTGCAGCAAGAGAGCAGACCTGTTCAAATGATGTTTCAGAATAGTACCTTCAATATAGGAAGAGTGGCTGCAGAGAAAATGAAGATCCTGGAGCTTCCATATACCAGTGGAGAGCTGAGCCTGTTGGTGCTGTTGCCTGATGACATCTCTGGTCTGGAACAGGTATGACTCTGGCAGGGGAAGCAGAAGAGTTATCATTTCAGTGGGGCTTGGTTTCTGTCAGAATTTTTGCTGTCCCTTTGTGTCCCAGTTGCCCACACTATGGCTGTGCTGTGCTGGTAGGGGAGCAGAAAAGCCACCCAGGTGCTACCAGGTGCTCAGGCAGAGACTGGCCTCTTAGGAGAACACTGAACTTGGTTTTATAAAAGGAAGGTAAGGCAGCGTAGTGCTGCTGTAGCCCCACAAAAGAGGATGTATATATGCCAGATTTTATTTTTTTTTAAAATTGAGGTAATTTCACACACATACCACCCCCCAACACTCCTCCCCTGGCTGTAAACTGTTGAGGAAACACAGCTAAAATTGTTGAGAATTAGACATTCTTTGAAGGAATCACTGATGAGTTTTTTAAAATAAAATTCTCATCAAACATCATAAGTGGACTGCTTTCAAAAATTGCTGCGATTATGTCATCATGGAATGAAAAACGAAGTTAGATAAAGCATGATCTTAATAAAATATTCTTGATTTTGAAATTGTGAAACCAATCAAGCTAAACAAACTGATCGAAACCACTTCTTCAGTTAAGACCTCAGAGAGTCTTAAACATGGAGATGGAAAGGAAATGCATGTAAGATATTTGGAAATTATGCATCAAGCAGGAAAGAGACTTGAGTCTGATTGGATGAATATCAACCACAGAAATAATCCATGAACATAAAAGGACAGAACATGAGAATGACATAGAAAGTAAAAGAAAATGTTAAAACTATTTTTAGTTAGGTTGAATCAGTTTTTTCCAGATTCATCAAAACTAGTAAAAGAAATAGTTTTGTACTTTTAGGAAAAAAAGAGAAAAGTGCCACCAGAATTCAGTGAGGCAAGAATACAAATATAATCTACTGCCTGTGCAACAGGAAATGAAACTTTTTTCTTTGTCTTGGAAGAAAATGAAGCCAAAGACCTGAGTGAATGCAGAATGCTAACAGCAAAGAGGAAAAAATCGGACAGATGGAAGGGAGAAACAAAACTTGAAAAATTAATTTGATTCAATCACTTAAAATAAAGTTATCAATGTGTTAAAATTTACCTATCTGTACCCAAGAAAGGGAAAAAGCAATGCATTATATGAAGTCTGCATTATATGAACAATTACTCTTATTTTAGCAATACTTTTGAATTATAAAATAGAATTATTAAAGATGTAGAAGAGTTTGCATTTGTTAGGCACTATTAACCGTAGGTAAATTTTTATGGTCTGTTTTTTTGCAATCTCTTTCACAGGCTGACTAATTTGCTAGGCTGTGAAATTGTTGGGTTGCGCTTTATGAGACGTAAGATTAATTGGACAAGAGGGGATGTGTCAAGTTGATAAAGAACTGAATAAAAGGACAGTGACACAGGCAGTAGTGGAGAAGGATGTCAATAGGATGACTGTAAGAACCACTCTGGTTGGTTGGTTTTTTTTATGATAGCCTTGTCTGAAATGAAGAATTTGCATTTGCATCCCAGGCATTTCATTCCCTGCCTCTCTTTGCAGCTCGAGAACAAAATCAGCTTTGATAAACTTACAGAGTGGACCAGTCCCAGTGTGATGGAGCAGAAGAGGGTGAAAGTGTACCTCCCACGCATGAAGACTGAGGAAAAATATAACCTCACATCTGTCTTAACAGCCTTGGGTATGACCGACCTGTTCAGCCCCTCGGCCAATCTCTCTGGCATCTCTTCAGCAGAGAACCTGAAGGTATCTGAGGCCGTCCATGAGGCGTACATGGAAGTCACTGAGGAGGGCACTGAGGTGACTGGCTCAACTGTTGTGACAGGAGATACCCAAGCGTCCTCTGAGTTTGAAGAGTTTAGGGCTGACCACCCATTCCTTTTCTTGATCAGACACAATCCAAGCAACATGATCCTCTTCTTTGGTAGATATTGTTCACCCTAGAGAAAGAATGAGTTGGAAACAATGCTTGCCTTCCCCTCAGAAACAGCCCCCCCCCCCTTACTCTAATATTGTAGTATAATCTCTTCAACATTTTCTCCAAGTGGAAAGGCTCATCTAAGATGCCCATTAAGGAAACTCCCATAGCAAAGAGATACCTGCAGGTGAGGAAACAGTAGCAAGCATGCTTACTTGTGTCCCTTCTCGGACTGTTTTCAGCGTTGCTTGAGCTAAACAAAGACTGATCCCACTGAGACTAGAGACTCTCACAAGCCAGGAAGGGGTCAAGTGATTTTCATTCAAGGAACTAGTTGCAGATATGAATGGGATAATCTTTGGGAGTCCATTACATAGAAAGACATGGGCTGTGTTCATCCCATCCCCTGGTAGCATCCTGCTGACAAACCCATGTTGTTCCTGAAACACAGTCCTTGAGATCTCTAGTCTGGAGGAGATGCTTGTAGATAAGACTCTGCTATGCAGGTTATTAATTGGTGCCTATGTATATTTTATTTTTTTTATTTAGCTGTTGGGAAATGGTGTACATTATCACCAGAGTTGTCCTCTCACCATGAGTACTTCACATAATTCAGAATTTCTTTCAGAGGTTCTCCAAAGTGATGGAGAGTGCAAGGAGATCTAAGATACCTAGGTGCAGTTATGCCTTCTCACAATGTGTAGATTTGAAGCCTTAAACATGGATATCTGGATGATCCAGATTATCCAGGACTCAGAACTACCAGGCAAAAGAGCTGAATTCTTGCTTAAAACACCTGAAGAACTTAAAATTTGAGAGTATTTTGATTTTTGTGAAAAATACTGCAAGTGGTGCTAAAGAAAGTGATTTTTCCACAAGGAATTTTATGAAAAAACACAGCTTTTAAAATAATCCCATCTCTGTTGGTCTTGCTTAGCTAGTACACTTCAATTAGTCCCTGGAAACCTCTCAAGTGTTCAAAATTCAAGTACATTATTATTCCATGAATGCAGCTGGGCTTCTTCATTCCCATGATAATTCAAGGCTACATCTCTTGTTCTTAAGAAACACATGAGAATACTAATATTCTCTGTCTTTTGTTCCTATGTGTCTATTGCCATCTCCAAATATGGATATATTGGCTCAATACTATTACCTGTTTTCATTCTAATCATACATTATTGAGTTTGATGCATACAATTGATTTTTTTGTTAACATAATAAAAGAAAGTCACAAATGCTTGTCATGAAATTATGTTTATTTTCTTAATTTTCTGGACCACAAATCCTTAAAAATATTATTACAGTGATAACTGTTGTGAGCAAAATGGAATTAAGTATAAAATCCTCCTGTTTTAGAATGAATAAGCATGTAGATATGAAGTTTCCCAGGCATTTATTTAAATGAATGTTAAATGAATGTTTCCAGTTTGTTAAATGAATGAATGCACACATTTAGAGTTTGATTCCCCTCTGTAGCACAGATTACCAAGAAATAGCCTAATGGAATGAAAAACTAATTTCTTCTTATGTATTTTTCAATACAATTCCAGTGGGTATTAAAGATGCACTGACAATCAGTATGATAAATATTTCAAGGAACAAGTATTCCATCAACTCTGCCATTTTAGAGGATGAAATCACCTGAAAAATCATACAACTCAAATAGCATAAGAAAGAATAAGTAAATTGACAACTATTAGGCAAAGCATTTCCCCACTGAGAGTTTTGAGAGGAGGTACTCTGTTGTTAATTTTGGCTATCAGCTATTCCAATATTAAGAGACAGAACAACCCTGGATGTACATACAGACTGGGGAACAAGATGCTGGAGAGCAGCCCCACAGAAAGGGACCTGGTGATCCTGGTTGATGGCAAGTTAAATATAAACCAACATTGTGTCCTGGCAGCCAAAGGGGCCAGCTGTGTCCCGAGTTGCACCCCAGCATGGCCAGCTGGTCAAGGGAGGTGATTGTCCTGCTCTGCGCTGTGCTGGTGTGGCCTCACCTTGAATATTGTGTGCAGTTTGGGGCACCACAATATGAGAAAGACATAAAACTGTTAGAGAGCATCCAAAGGAGAGATGGTGAAGGGTCTGGAGGGGAAGCAATATGAAGAGTGGCTGAGGTCACTTGATTTTTTCAGCCTGGAGAAGAGGAGACCAAGGGGAGGTGTCATTGCAGTCTACAGCTTCCTTGTCAGAGGAAGAGAAGGGGCAGACACTGGTCTCTGCTCTGTGTTGATCAGTGACAGGACTCGAGGGAATGTCAGGAAGTTGTCTCAGGTTTAGGTTACATATTAGGAAAAGGTTTTTCACCCAGAGGATGGTTGGGCACTGGAACAGGCTCTCCAGGGACGTGGTTGCAGCACCAAGCTTGACAGAGCTCAAGAAGCATTTGGACAGTGCTGTCAGGCACATGATCCTTGGGGTTTCCTTTGCAGGGCCAGGAGCTGGACTTCAGTGATCCCTGTGAGTCCCTTGCAACTCAGGATATTCTATGAAATTCTGTGAAATCTTGGTGGGTCCCTTCCAACTCAGGGTATTCCATGATTCCATGATTCTATTTCCACATTAACACAGGATATTGTATGATAAAAGTGGATCTGCAGAGGAAAGAAGCTGGTGCTACATGTCTGACATCCACAGTATTTAAATATCATCAGGATATTTGTGATATAGACTCAATTGTTTTTCAGTGGTAAAAACAGCTATTTTACCAAGTATACATTAATTTTTGTGCTTTAGAAATTAAAGCAGTGGTATGAACAGTTCCAAGAGATGCAAAATTTCAACATCTCAAGGCTTATCATAAGCAGTCTATTCACTTTCTGCCTCTCTTGTAGCCAGAAGTATCTGGCTTCTTCTAGCCAAGAGCAGTTGGTCCAGTTTGTTAAATTTAGAAGCCTGTACACTTAAGCAATAAGAAGACTTGAAAAGGGCTACATTTGCAAACTTTCCTTTCTATGATTATTAAACTGGAAAGTGCTTAAAGTACAAAGATACGACTCAGTGACTTATGTTGTTTCCTGAATGACAACAAAGGTCAAAATGAAGGCATGGGAAAAGGGAAAAGGGCCATGATGCTTACAAACAAATACAAAGCTTTCCCTTTCCCTAAAGGGAAAATAGAAGACAGCAAAAAAGTGCAAATTCAGCAATACTGGACCAAACCTGTAACAAAACACCAATGGTTAGGATGTGGTCTTGTCCACCACATGATGGGTAGAAGGTAAAATATTTAAAGGGCAGTGGAAAAGTGTTTGCCATGAAGGGGATGCCAGACCTGCACAGTGGAATGATGAATGCCTGCTGTGGCCTCCAAGCTCGCCAAAACACTGGAGAGATTTGGAAGAAGCATTCCTTCCTGTGCCCCAGAGAAGCAGTGACTGTGGTTCAGCATCCCTGTGCTCTTGCCCACCAAGCAAGCATGTAGTGGAAAGGTGCAGGTGCTCCAGCAGCACGGAGGGACCCCATGCTCTGTCTGAGCACCTGTGTGCTTTCGCCCTCGGGTTTCATTTCTCAGGCATGGAATAGGCAATTGAGCATGTATGCTTTCAAAAAAAGAAAGAAAGAAAGAGAGAGAAAGAAAGAGAGAGAAAGAAAGAAAGAAAAAAAGAAAGAGAAAGAAAAGGTAACAATATTAAAATGGTCCAGAAGTTTTTCCTTGAAAAAAAGGCAAAAACATAAATAAACCTAGAAAACCTCCTTGTTGCTACTGGCGTTTTTGTCATAGCCTTCCAAAGGCTTCTGGTTTTTTTGTTTTCTGGAGAACTGAGATCCTGTTTGTCTGACACACTGCTGTGCAGCTCCAGGTGGAAGATTACACATGGGGTGACACAAAATCTGAAACCTTCTACACCTCGTGGTGTAAATAACACACCTCCAGAAAGCACAAAGAGAGGTCCAAGGGTCTGCCACTATGAGGCAACGTTGCTCTCCATAAAACATGGGAACAATTGTTGAACATGCCATACACTCCCATTCCAAGTGAACATGCCATACACTCCTCATCTACACCACAGTATTTTCTTTGAACATCAATATGCAATTACACCATTGTCTCCATATACCTTGAGGTTTTCCTCACAAAATTACGGAACAGCTAAGATTGGAAATGACTTCTGCTGATTTTCTATTCAGAGTCATCTATGGCAGGTTGCTTGGGACCATGTTCTGTTGGGTTTTGAATATTTCCAAGGATGGAGGATCCACAGCTTCTGCGGGCAACCTGGATTTACCTCTCTCCTCATAAGAAAATGTATTTTCTTATGTTTAAATGTAATTTATGCTATTTGGGGTTGTGTCTATTCCCTCTTGCCTATTCACAGGAGAAAGTCTGGCTTCATCTTCTTTTTACCTTTCCATCAAGTAGGCTATGCACATGTATAAGATCCTCCCTGCACATTCTCCTCTCCGGGGTAACAAGTCCCATCTCCCATGATCGACATTTTAATCACTTCATCATCTTTGAGGCTCATCTCTGGTCCTGCTCCACTACATCCACATCTCTTTGATCTGGAAAGCCCAGAGCCGGACATAGCATTCCAACTTTGGTTCTACCAGTGCTGAGCTGAGGGTCAGGATAACCTCCCTTTACATGCTGGCAATGGTTTTCCTAAGGCAGACCATTGTGCAGTTGACTTTCTTTGCCACAGGGACACATTGCTGACTCATGGTCAACTTGGTGTCTGCAGGGACTCCCAGTTCTTTAATGCAAAGCTGCCATGATGGCACAGACCTTTGTGCAATGACATCTCTCCTTTTTCTGCAAGAGAAGCAGGAAACATGTTAGGAATATTGTTAAGAATCTCAGTAGGCTACTAATCAGAGGAGAGGAAGGCTTCATGGAAGGATGTCTGTGTTGAAACAAACCAGGAGGTTAGTTTATCCTATTTCATGCAAAAGAAAAATGCCGTTTTTCCTGGGAGCGTGTGCCAAGATAAAGGACATACTGGGCAGACTTCCAGTGAGTGATGGAGGTAAAGTGACAGGCATGGTGGCATGACCAGTGTTAGTCACAGGCTGC